TTCTTTCTGTCAGGAAGACATTCAGCAAAAAAATCGTTTTTAGGCAACAAAAAACACGTTTCAAAAGAATACTAAAAGCGATTTCAGGATGCGTTGCATTTTTCCAAGAAGACATTCATAATTGTTCTTTTTTTTCATGAACAGTTTTTAGTACGCTATTTCAAACTTTCGAGTTTGCCAGTAGAAAGAGCATCAAAAGATACACATAGTTGACTTTTCTTATATTACGGTGTTTCGAGCATCTCCTATGACAAAAAAGTTCATAAAAAGACCGTCCATGAACGCATCCTGGAAATGCTTTTAGCATTGTTTTGAAACGTGTTTTTTGTTGCCTAAAAACGATTTTTTTCTGAATACTTTCCGGGCAGAGAGAAATGCAGTTTTTTCTTGTGGAAACAATACGTTCCCTTAAGAGAAAAAGACGTTCGAAAGTGTATTATGAATGTGTTTTTATCCGTTCTTTTTCATCTTTTTTTCCATGGATAATGATAATTGTTTAATGAGAAGGAAACGAAACATTAAAGAAGATTCATGCCGACTCGACTTATCTCTTTCTTAATTATATTATACTTTCTATTGTTTTGAATAAAGTGCTCGTTTCTGCTTGAAGTTTTGTTGCTAACGAGGGAATCTCTCCAGGTATAAAATCGCTTTTCGCTCGAGCCTATTGCCATTAGATAGGGCCTTAGTGAGTAAACCCCTCTCCGTGATAGAAGACCCTCCCATATTAGAAACCTTCCTCCCTTATTACAAGCCTCCTCAAGAAGGGTCAATGTGAAAGATGTATTAGAAGCTCCCTCATTTAAAAAAAAATTTTGAAACTTTTTATCATAAAACTTTCAAAATTCAAGATCTTATGATAAGAATTTGTTTGATTCTCTTAGTTACCAGCATAAAAATCTTAAAATCTCCTAGAAAGTCGTTTGAACAACTCTTAAAAATCCTGAAAATCTCTAAAATTCTATGAAATTTTTTTCATCTAATAATAATAATAATAATAGTGATTTAACAGGAGTATATAACATTATTGTTTAAATTTAATACAACGAAACAGAAATTTTTTTTTGTTCAAATTTTTCTTACTATTTTATTTTATATCGACGTTTTAAAGTATAAATCTTCATTGCCGAGATATAAAATGAGATTGTTACAAAAATAGAAAATTTTATATAGAACAAAATACGAACAAAGAGAAGAACGAGAGGCATTAATTAATCTCTTTTTATATTTTATAAATGTACTTATAATTCATTTCTACTCATTATAAATGTCTCTCTTTCTTCTCTTTGTTCTTATTTTGTTCTATATAAAATTTTCTATTTTTGTAACAATCTCATTTTACATCTCGGTAATGGAGATTTATATTTTGAAATGTCGATATAAAATAAAATAATAAGAAAAATTTGAAAAACGAAATTTCTGTTTCTTTGTATTAAATTTAAACAATAATGTTATACGCTGCTGTAAAATCATTATTATTATTTTCAAATTTATTTTTCATAAATACACAAAATTTTTCATCTAAAACTATTGAAAAATTTCAGGACTTAATATAGAAGCCCTCTCCGAAAATTTTGGATGGTCGGCCGTTTAGAAGCTCCCGGGCGCTTCTAAACTGAGAGGGAATTCAATGAAAAAGTCCATTAGGGTTTCGGTGCATGGGACTTCTCTTGTCGAGTTATGAGTGTTTTACTCAATTTTTGATCTATGGGCATGGCATTTTCAAAATAACTCAATGATCGAATTTCAAGCTGAAATTTTGTTCATAGATAGATATTATGATCACTAGAAAGTTCTCAAAGTTTGAGTCAAAATGAACTCATCCTTACCGAGATATTCATATTTTAAAGAAACACCCGTTTGGGAGCTGTGTTTCAAAATAGGGACATTTTCATGACAAGCTGATATCTCGGCAAGGATGAGGTCGTTGTGGCTCAAACCGTGGGAACTTTGTAGTGACCATAATATCTATCTATGAACAAAATTTCAGCTTGAAATTTGATCATGGGGTTTTTTTCAAAAATGCTATCTCCGTATACCAAAACTTGGGTGAACCACTCATAACTCAACAAGAGAAGGCCATGCACCGAAACTCTTATGGATTTTTTCACTACTCACTAAGGCCCATCTAATGGAAATAGTCTTGAGCGAAAATTGATTTTACACCTGAAGAGGTTCCCTCATAAGTTGTTACTTCATTGTCATCTTCTCGTGCTCTCATTCAATGAAAAGCTATTCGTATTATCCTGTTAAATTTGTTGAAACATCAACATTTATTCAAGTTAAACTTTTCAATACGCGTCCATCCATTTCCCATTCTAAATAGTTTATTCTGGATAAAGGTGAATGTAACATACTAAGTGCAAATCAATCGTATCGAGTGACACTAGAGTCGAAAAGACAAATCTCTCGTACTAGATATCTTAGGCATTCAACATGTAGAATTGACTAAGCTGTACTTGTGACCCAACGGCCTGAAGCCACGGCACGTATAGCTGGTCAATTTCTTTTCCGTATATATTTAAGCTGAAGAAGATGATCCAATCGGCGTTATGCCATGGCATGTCCGGAACAACTTTTTTATTTTAGGCTCGATCGTGTCAACTTACAACGGCGTTTAAAGTGCCCAAAAATGACTATAAAAAATGTTTTAACTTTATTTTATTGTATTCTATTTAATTGTTTTGTTTTGTTTTGTTTTGTTTTGTAACATTTTACTTTGCTAGAAAAAATACATATATGTTCAACTCGCCACTATATAAATAACAGTCGTCTCTGAGAGAGATCGACATGAAATTTTATTATTGAAAACTAACGGATAGCACATAAGAATAGCTAGTTTTTGTATTTGCTCTCTGAAACATTCTTTTCAAAATCAAATACATCAGAGAAACTAGACCTCTACTTGGCCGAAGGCCGGCTAGAAAATTCGGCTGACTGCAGAGCCTGTAAAATATCGAAATCTGATCCTATACGACATCTACCATTTCTAAACCTAAGACTTGTGTAAAGAAAATCATAATGAATCTGAATCATAGATTTCCATATCAGGAAGCTCTCAGCTGTTCATTATCGCTCTTCATATCTCATCTGTATAAATCATGAAGAGATTTTTCTAAACGTTTGAGACTCCTTCATGGATGAATTTAAGCTATGTAAGACGATAATTAAAGTATATATGTACATAAGATCTGAGATATCAATGGTCTGATTAAGACTGAATCATGTGTAGCCATATAAGGAAACTATCAACTATTAATTATTATTTTTGACACTATTTATATCTCCTGAGCACCGCCAAATTTCGAAAAATGGATTTCAGATGTGTACTCGTCACGTTCTCAGGATCTCGCGAAGCCTTTATTTGACTGAACATGATACTCAGGAGCTGAGAACGAGCGGCTGACTTGAATCGTGACTTATGTGTTGAGAAGAAGAAGAAGAAGAATTTACCATGGCAACTAATCGAGTGAAAAGCAATAAGTCGGCTCTGTCTGTACTTCGTGCAGTCAGCCGACTTAATAATAGAATTCTATCTGCGTGTTAACTAAAAGGGTGCAAAACATTAGTACTGCATAAAGCTATAAAATCCTACTAGGAATATGGAAAGAAAAGTAGTCATGAAAACAACTAAACATGGATCTGCTTTCTTTAAAAGAGAACATGAGCCAGGCACTGAAGTGAACTTTATTTTTTATATTTGAGACTTATTGAAGGAATTGCTAGTGAATCGAATGAAGGGAATTATATTCGATTCAGTTTCATTCTCTGGTAATAATCAATTATTGTACCAACGAATAGGACTATGACCACATCTGTCGTGTTTCACAAGTAGCAGTCTGAGTCTCATGAGTACTACACTTTGGCTCCACAGCGGCTTCGCTGATAAGTTTTTGTAACTAAAAGGGCTCTCTGAGAGAACTGAAGCGATTTTGAAAATTGGAGGAAGTATTTTCACGATTTTTGAAGCTTATATATAGGCTTGAACTCATCGATTTGAAAATTTTTAGCTGAAAATCCCAGAAATAGACACGTTTCGGGACAAAAAAAACTGATGAAAATTTTCAGTTCTCAAAAAAAAACTTAAAAAAACGGGGGGGCTTCTATTATGGGGGAAAGGGGGGGGGGGGGGTTAGTCATGATTTTGGCATCCACTTTTACGCAGATTTGTCCACAAAAAAAGCAATATTATGATATAGTTTATAATTCCTGATTTTTTTAAGAAAATTTTCTGTCTGCTTTCCTGATTTTGGAACCTATACCGCTGCGACCCCTGAATATATTAAAAATATGCCATTGTGATATGATTTGTTCTGGGTTTAAATGAAAAAATCCATTTCTAAAACTTCTTTAGGGTTTTTCAAAACATGGTTTCTAGACAGGAAAATTGAAATAACTTCCCCTCGGTTCGAAGTATCACCGATGTTTTTTCCTTTGTTTTAAAAGTCTTTATTAGAGCTAACTTTTTATCGGATGGATTTTAGATACTAGATTCCTGGACTGAGAAACATGGAATTTAATGTCGTGGAGCGACATTTTTTTATGCTCATTCTGTACACTATGTCCACAAAAATGGTTATAAAAATGAGTGAAAGGTAGTTGTAAAATTCTGTCCGATGAAAAGTTGAGCATAGAGGCTAGCTTTAATTTGAAATGAGTCCGAGCTCTGTACTTCTGCTGATGACGGAGTTATTTCGATTATTCTGGAAGGTAGGAAAACAAGCCAGAAGTCCGGTCTAGTCAAACATATCAGGCTGAAATTTTGTACCGCAAGCGTTTCTCACTAAGATCAATCATTTCTGAAAATTTCAGCCCAAACGGTCGATTCCAAATGGGAAATCATTTTCGAAGGAGTCCTTAAGTCATTCATAAACATAGACAATAAGAAATCTTTTATTTCACTATTTTACGATAAATATATAGTAAATATTTATTAAATTATTATATCACAGAAAGACATAAGTGAATTTCAAAAAAACAAAATTTTCTACAATATTGTATTACATCCATCCAACTGGGTAACCTCTTGCTAAATTTTCCATTTTTAACCAATTATATAATGGTTGAAAAAAATCTAACATAGCTTGTGATTCTAATTTATTTTCTCCTGTGAAATTTTCTAAAATTTCTGGCCATGATTTTGAAGCTCCCATAGCTAACATTTCTTTAAATTTTTCTCCAACATATTTATTACCATATATATCACACATATGTAATCGTTTTGTAACACCTTGTAATCGACACATAGCACGATGAAATTGAAATTGAAGAATATGAGCAAAAAAATATCGTAAATAAGGAACATTTGATGGTATATGATATTTTGCACCAGCATCAAAATTTTTTTTATCATTTCGAGGTGCACCTGCCATTATACCACCATATTCAATACGTAATGCCCACCATTTAGAATTTAATTCATGTTCACGATCAATTTCATTACGAAAAAGTAAAAATCGATATTTATCCATAACATAACTAAATGGTAGAAAAGTAACTTTTTCTAAAGCTAAACGAAATAGATAATTGATTTCGTAATGTAAATTCACATTTTCTTCATCAAGAAAACCCAATTTTATTAAATGTGCTGGTGAAACTAATAAAATATTTAAAAAAAACTTCATATCAAAAGACAATAAAACAAAACAACTTACTTGCAAACATACCAATTGTATCTCCAATAGCTTCCTGAAAACCTGAATTAGCTCCACTTTGATAAACAAATGGTTGTTTTTCACTATAAGCCATATAATATTCAATATGACCCATTTCATGATGAACTGTATAAAAGTAATCATCATTAATTTCTGTACAAATTTTTACACGATAATCATCATGATATCCCATATTGAATGCAGATCCATGACAGACAACATTACGATCAGTAGGTTTTTCAAACATACTACGAGCCCAAAACTTTGGTGTCATTGGATAAAGACCAATTGATGTAAAAAATGATTCAGCCATTGTATATAATTGATGAATAGAAATTTTTTTTTCAATTAATACTTTTGTTATATTAATAAGTGGAGCATCTGGATAAGGAATAACATCATCTAAACGATCGTGCCATGTTTGAGCCCACATATTACCTATAAAGTTTTTCAAAATTGAATTAAGATATATATGAATAATCAAAACAAAAAAAAAACCAGCAATTTACCGAGAATGTGAGCTGGAATAGGTCCATTACAATCAAAACGATTTTCATATTTTGAACATAATCGACCTCGAACATATGCATGTAATTGTTCATATAATGGCATAATATTTTTTAAAAGTTGATCAATAATACTTTCAAATCCGGTCACATTACCGATTCCATAACCTTTAATCCAATATTGCTAACAAAAAAATAAAATAAAATAATAAATAAATAATTATAGGAGTAAAAATTTGACTCCTCCTACAGACTTTTTAATTCCATAGAAATTGTTCTAAGAGCTTTTTATTTGTATATTTCAAGCAGATCAGTCATAGCTCAGCTCTCTGCATAAACCTTTGAGCTTCCTCTACAAATGTCACAGTTCTATAGTACAGACAAAGAAAAGACTTAATTTTTAGTTTCAAACAGTGGCAGAGCTCCTTTCTCCCTACAAATTTCTCTGGCTCAACCACAACAGACCAAGCTGAGTTTCAAAATAGGCCAGGTCAAAGCTGTTAGCTTCTATGTGATCTAATATTATTTTCCCTAGTATACCTTGAAACATAAGATGGCGCCACAAGCTTATGATTTTTTGAAGGTATGAGTTATTCCTTCACACACAGTCACTTACACTTGCATGGAACAAATTCATTTTAATCCCATTTATCGCAACATCCTCATCTTTCTGTAGTGCTGTGTGTGAAAATTACGTCAATGAGTGCTCAACATGTAATTAAAGTAAACTTCAATTATCTTAAATAGTACTGATATATTCAAAAATATTTCGATAAAATCCAGTGTTTTTTTTTTATATGAGAAATATTTTTGCTGATTTATCTTTACGTTTCGCACATGAACTTGTCATTATATGATCTTCATGAGATTAAATTAAGTAAATGACTGAAACTAGAATGATACATTTTTCTTAGTGTCAAATCGCTTTTAAGTCGAAACTATGTGTATTATATAGGTTCTAATGAGCTATGAATATCCTGAAAATAGTTCGAACTAATAGTTCATTACTGCCAAGATACTGTATTTTTTGAGCAGAATGTTGTAGTCCTACTCAGGAAAACTGGCTTTCGAATTTCGACTGGCGATAAGTCTTAATGAAAAAAATTTATTGTAAAAGTTTCAGACATTTTGATTTCTTCTATTCTAAGGATACGGCTATGATAAAAGCATGTTTTTCACTCCGCTTATGTAAAACAGCTAATTCCGATGTTCTTATTTCAGAATATATGCAATTAAAAAATCTGAAATTTTCACAATAAACTTCCATTATTAAGGTCCATCTCATGTCAAAATTCGGAAATTAGCTTTCCTAATGGGTACCACAACGTTCTACCATAAAACATAGTACCTTGGCAGCAATAAGCTATTAGTCTGCACTCTTGTCAGTGTATTCATAGTTCATTAAAACCTACATGATGTATATAATCTTGACTCAAAAAATCAATTTCACACTTAGAAACCTACTCCTCATTAGTGGATTTGGAAAAAAAACAAAAGCATCAATCAGCCTGGTTTGCTCGATTGATCAGAACAGAAAAAAATGATCTGTAAACTTACAGCTAGATCATGATATCCATTTTCTTTAACATTTTTATTCAATAAATCAATATAAGGTAAATAAACTGGACGAATTTTATTTCCACATTCATCATGCCAACCTTTCCATGCCCATAATAAACGATCATAATCTTTTTCAATTTGCATTAATCGTTCTAAATATGGTGCAAGTGCATAACATTTCTTTTTATTATTTAATTCACAAACTTTTGTTGTTGAATAAATATCTTCTAATTGGCTACCTAATTTCGAAATTCTTTTTACATTATCATCATCATTATTACTAGTTGTACTTGATGCTAAACCACCAAATATACGTTTTAAATCATAATTTTCTGAATATTTCATATATTCATTAAATTTTTTTGCTATTGGTAATACTAAACGACTAAATGGCGATTGAATAAGATTTTGAGCAGTTATTGCTTTTTGATTTTCTTCAGTTATATTTGTCATATAATTCCAATGGAGATAAATATCTATCTAAATATATAGAATAAAAACAAATAATAAATTAATGAAAATATATTTCTTATCTTACTTGACTATATCGTTGTACTATATAAAGATACCATTTTAACCATTTCTTAGCAATAATTTCATTTGAATAATCATGAATAACAGGCATTTTTTTAATATCTTCTTCATTTAATTTATTCCATAATTCAACATTAACATGATCATTAGGATCAACTTTAGTTTCATCATTATTATTTTCTATATTATGATTAATTGATATTGGTTCTTCAAAATCATATGTAAAATATTTGTGCAAAATATTAATAATAATACTTTCGAATTGTTGTTGATTATAATAATTTTGTTTTCGATTTGATATTGAGAATTGAAATGAAGAAATAAGTAAAATAATAATAATCAAAAAATTCTTCATTTTTTTCTTTGATCAAAATCTAAAACAATAATTTTTCAGAAAAAAAAAACAAATAATATTTTGACTGGTTTTTTTTTTGTATCATTGTAATAATATATACATATCGTTATGAAAGACATTTTACATTCACCATGTGTCTTTGTTTTCATTGTATACAATCCTATAGAATGGAGAGAAAAAGAAAAACGAAGTAAATATCAAAATGTATATGATGTATTTCAACCAATGTGCTATTTTTCTTGTTGCCTTTCACCAAACAATAATACAAACCATTATTTGTTTACATACACTTTAAATAGAAAAGTAGAACATTCTTTTTCACGTATTTAATCGTATCATAAGTACAGTGATGACTTCTCATTCGACATCAGAAGTTGAATCTCAAAAACAATTTTATGAACAAGCAAGTAAACATCTTAAAATCTTTAAATAGTAGATTTCGAGAAAAGATAGTAATCATGCAATTCATGAATGAAGAGATTATTCTTCGTCATCTTACGAAGAAGTGTTCAATAGATTTCGATTCACGTTTTACATCTTGGTATTGCATTTCTTTTCTTGTACAAAATACTGATTTGAAAACTTTACTATATAATGCAAAAATTGATTAACCGATGTTACGATATGAAGCGATAAAGAATGTTTAGAAATATATTCATGTTGAAACCATAACTTCTCAAAAGAAATACTTTTTCGAATAATATACAGCTACTTGATGATTAAGTAGCTAATTGTTTTGTAACAACTTTTCGTTTACAGCAGTATTTCATATCGCAATTTAAATATTATGATAATTGTTTAAAAGAGTTAGTTGGAAATAAATGTATACAGTTATCATATGATATAAATATCTAATTCACTTCTAACAAAATTTCATGTTGGACTTCTTTTTATAACCAGCAATTGAAAGTCTACTACTACATAGAAATCATTTTACTTATTTAAACATTTTCATACATATCTTAATTGATTTGATAACTTATGATAAGTAGGTAAAAGACGTATTCAATCCTTGAAATGATCTTTGTTTGAAATAAAATAATTAGAGTGAATGAGAGTATGTGAGTATTTATTAAAAGAACTAAAAATTGTATGCTGATCTAAATACTTGCTACTAATAAGATATTATTTTTAGTGAAAATTAATTATAGTTAAAAAATAATCAGAACAAGAAGAATGAAGAATAGGATTGACAAATATAATGATTTATTCAAGATAAAAATGTCGATTATCTTGATTTTTTCTAGTTGCTGTTTGTTTATTAGTCAGTATAGTTTTATCGATGATTGCCATTATTTTCATCACTACATCGCTTGAACAAAATTTTTCTTGTTATAGATCTTCTTTCATAATTTGTATCTATTTTTTGTGATAGAGGATGATATATTAAAACAATAGATGTGGATGTGGAGTGTATGGATATCGAAGTCCTCATTTCACTGACACTCTTTTTAAGACATATATTCAAATAGGAAAAATATCAATTCTTCGATTCACTTACATAAATTTTATAAGCGAATAAATGGCAAACAATAGTATAGCAAAAAAAAAAGTTGCTTACTTAAATATAGGAGAATCTACATATTTCAAGCCGAGGAAACTAATATATATGTTGGAGGATTATATATCGATTTTTTCATGAAATAATAAGCGCCTGTTCAAGAAATTCAATAAAAACAAAAAATATTTATCTTCAGTTTGAGGTTGGAAGTTCATTTTTTTGTGAGGTATCGTTTCTAACTTTTAGAATGAGGTGAAAGATGAACGTTCTAAAGATAGAAGTTTGCTTCAATCATATTATCTGCGATTTTCCGGCCATGGAGTTTCATCGACTGCCACTCGTTGGAGTATAAGAATGATTTCTTCGCTCATTCGAAGATACTCATTATTATCATCAGTCATACTTTGATCAAGATCAAAGCAAATTTCGAGTAATTGAACAAAATATAAATGCATTAATTCATCGTCATTCTCAGTCCATTCCATCGATATGAGTATAGCAGCATATAAATCGTTCTGTTCTTCATTGTTAAAGACCAATAAACATTCATGAATTGCATTGTACTGTTGCAAAGAAGATGTTTTATGTATGAATTGACTAAGAATCATAGGCCATGAAGGAAAAGACTTTGATTTGAGACAATGATGAAGAATTTCAACAAAAACACAAACAGTCCAATCTACACTTGCTTCGATTCGACGATGGTTCGATGTGCGAAATGTCACTGTTAGTCCTTCTAATCGTAATAAGTGCTTATTAATCAGATCGTGAAGTGCAGTTTCCATTGTCACACTAGGCAAACCTTGTATTGATAGTAATTTTCTTTGACGTGTCTGTAGAAGTGCTGTAGTAAATAACCATGGTAAACTTAGAATTGGTGCTCGTTCCAATCCATTTTGTCCACTGTAACATTCTCGATACAATGCAACAGCTACAGCATTGTGTATTTTTTGACATCCATCACAAAAGTTTTCGAAAGCTGTATTTGCATTACAAGTATTTCCAGTGTCCGAACAGAAAGATACTAAACGTAAGAAGAAAGCCTCACGTGTACGTACAACGAGTTGTTTGAGTTGATTATAAGCTGTATCTTCAAGTTCTCCACCCGTAGTATTCGTTGATTTTCGACACCACAGATCACTTTCATGTGAAAGTCCATATAAATTAAGAATTTCAAGCATTTCTTGCCGATAGACATAAAATAATTGAGATGCAATTGTTGATATTTCTTGATCTTGTCTGGATGAAGTTGTATTAAGAAGAGATGAATCTAGTGTAATTATGTTTTTTTGACTATCCTCAGTATTTCCTTCTTGTTCTTGTTCTTCTTCATCATCTATTTCATCATCTTCAGGAGTTCGAACTTGTAAATGACGTAAATGACGATGTCGTCGAAGAAGTCGATTCCATCCAGGTAACATTCGACGTGATGAACGATAGAGTTTTCCTACAGATAGTTAAGAAATTTATAGAATATTCTCTTATCATAATACAAGATTTTGGTTCATGAAAAATTTTATACAAGGGAAATTTCAAGCTGCTTGCAATTTGCATTACACTTCAAATTTTTTTTTATTCTATTCTAAAATACTTTTGAAATCCATCGTCAAGATCAAATCCACTAATTTGATGTGATGCTGGGCAATCATCTTGCTGAGAAAAGACAATGACGTCTTTGAGATGTTTTAATTCTTCGTGATTGACAACAGTAAATGTTCGAATATCTCCCGGATGATAACAAGGATTTTTTGTGACAACAACCTTACAATTATGAAGAATTGATGTCTTTTCACCTTTGTTATTAGTGTCTTTATCTTCATGATCATTAAGTCGAGTGTGTTGAATAAAAACTTCATCCAGTTTTAACACATTGTACTCATCTATAATACCAAACATATTTCGAGCTTTGTTGCGTGAAACACGAATACGTGTTTGTCGAAGTAATTCTCGCATTGAAGTAAGACAGGCAGCTATCAATAGTTGTCGAAAGAATGGTTCACGAACAAAATCAATTTTTGCACCATAGGGTAAAAACCAATAGGGTAATTTTTCGTCAAGTAAATTTCTGGCATCATTATTTCTTAATAGAGCTCGAATAAGAGTTAAATGATTACGCTGTTGAAGAATAAGAAAGACAGCATCGGATATTCGTCGATAGGATAGAAGAAGAACATCTTGTCGATTAAGATAGAGCGATCGAGATGCAGAAATTTTACATACTTCGAAACAGGGTGTGGGTGTGGATGGCTGGGGGTGGGGGTGGGTGTGGGTGTGCGCATTGGTGATTTAGGGTGTAGATCTTTCCTTCACAGCTACTCCACTCACACCCACACCCCACACTCACGATAATTAAAGTATATATGCACATAAGATCTGAGATATCAATGGTCTGATTAAGACTAAATCATGTATAACCATATAAGGAAACTATCAACTATTAATTATTATTTTTGACACTATTTATATCCCCTGACCACCGCCGAATCTCGAAAAATGGATTTCAGACGTGTACTCGTCACGTTCTCAGGATCTCGCGAAGCTTTTATTTGACTGAACATGATACTCAGGAGCTGACAACGAGCGGCTGACTTGAATCGTGACTCATGTATTGAGAAGAAGAAGAAGAATTTGGCATGGCAACTAACCGAGTGAAAAGCAATAAGTCGGCACTGCCTGCACTTCGTGCAGTCAGCCGATTTAATAATAGAATTCTATCTGCGTGTCGACTAAAAGGGTTCAAAACATTAGTACTGCATAAAGCTATAAAATCCTACTAGGAATGTGGAAAGAGAAGTAGTCATGAAAACAACTGAACATGAATCTGCTTTCTTTGAAAGAGAACATTAGCCCGGTACTGAAGTGAACTTTATTTTTTATATTTGAGACTTATTGAAAGAATTGCTAGTGAATCAAATAAAGAGAATTATATTCGATTCAGTTTCATTCTCTGGTAATAATCAATTATTGTACCAACGAATAGGACTATGATCACATCTGTCGTGTTTCATAAAAATTTACAGAATGAAAATTTTAAGATATTTAAAATTTGTCGAATCGAATTTTTCATTCTCCTGCCTTTCGAACATTTCCTATTGAAAATTTTATCAGCTAAGTCTCATCGTTAGCTTATTTTATTTTATTCAATAAGCGCTCGATATAAGCTTTTTTCGATGGTCATAGGAGACATCATAGCAAAAATTGATGAAGTATCATCTATATAAGATTCAACGGTATTTAGATAAATAAAATTTATATTAGAAGAGGATCAGTTTCTTTGCTATCTGGTAATGGTTCTTGATCAAAATCCTGCTTGTCTTTTGTTGATTTCATATTTGCTAACATTCGAAGATATTCAGCCTCAGCTACACCTGTTTGTTCGACGAGTGAAGCAAAATGAGAAGTAGAATTCGAGAGAAGAACTTTGGGTGAATCGAATTCGAGCAATTCTCCATTACCAAGAACCTTCAAGACAGATAACATTGAAAGAGAAAAATTTCAATTTGAATTATCTTACCAGAATACGATCACTATCGATCACTGTTCGTAAACGATGAGCTACAGTAAGAACTGTACATTCTTTGAATTTTTCACGAATAGCTCGTTGAATCAATTCATCAGTGCTATATATATTATATTTCATTAATCAACAACTTTAATGAAGATTTATTTTACTTACACATTATCAACATTGGCAGTGGCTTCATCGATTACAAGAATTTTACTCATTTTTAAAATAGCTCTTGCCAAACATACGAGTTGTTTTTGTCCAACACTCAAATTTGAACCACCTTCACTCACTATTGAATGAAGTCCATTTGACATTCGATCAACAACTAATGTTTTTAATTGTACCTTAAATAAGTTTAAGTTAAGAATTATTAAATAGAATATATCATAAAGACCTGTTCAAGTGCACGCCAAATTTCTGCATCAGAATATTCGTTGAATTGATCGAGATTACTTCTCATAGTACCTGTAAAAAGAATAGGATCTTGTGGAATGATGGAAATATGACGTCGAACATCATCCAAGCCAATTGTCGCAATATCAATATTGTCGATTTTAATATGACCATTAACAAGTGTTCCCATACGAAACAATGTTTGAATCAATGAACTCTTTCCAGCACCTGTTCTTCCTACAATGCCCACTTTTTCACCAGCTTCAATTGTCATTGAAAGATGATGTAGAGCAAGTGATGATTGGTTATCAGATGAATGAGACATAGAAACATTTTCGAATACGATTCTACCATGAGATGGCCAATTTGACGGTGGTCGACGATTTAGTGGAACTTGTGCTGGAGGTTCTTGATCAAGAGAACAGTAATCGAGTACACGTTCGACTGATGTCATTCTTGTTTCCAATTCAACTGATGATCTACAATAATTTGTAATCGAAATGAGATTTGTTCCTTTAGTCATTACCTAATCGCCCATTGTAGAAGTCCCATTAGATTGAGACTATACGAGAGTGTCATGGCAATATCAGCAGTTGACAAATATCGATATCCAGTAACGCGTACAATCACTGAAAATATTGTAACTAGAGCAATGAAACTAAGTGCAACCCAATCGAAGCGAAGTGCAGCCCAACGATTAGTAGCAAAGATAAGATGATTTGC